CGGAAGGAACAAGAGGGGAGCAGGGCCCAGAGCCTTTACTGTGGTTTCCATGGGAACCATTGGGTGAGGCAAGTTTAGGGTGGACAAGTTTAGGACTGGATGTGTGAATAGTTTGTGGGCTCTGGGCCCTAGAGGTGGTCTCTAGTGTCCACTAGTTGGCTCTGGGGTGATTTAAGGCAGAGGAAACATTGGCTTGGTGCGTGAGAATCAGATAAAGCAGGCGGCTGGGGATACGGGCTTTGGAATCATTTTTGACTAAGAAGGAAGAGCAAAGTGGGAGTGGAGAGTAGGAGATGGAGAAGGAAGCTGTCCTAGGAGAAGGAGGGCACCATGAAGCAAACAGAAGAGCTGACAGAGTTGAAGCAGCCGTGTGGTAGCAGGGTTATGTTCAGAGCCCCATCCCACAAGCAGGGAATTTGAACACAAACATTACAAATAAATATTCAGGACTGAGCACAGTGGCTTACGCCTGTAATCCCAGCACTTTGGGAGGCCAAGGTGGGCAGATCACTTGAGACCAGGAATTCAGGACCAGCCTGAGCAACATGGCAAAACCCTGTCTCTACTAAAAATGCAAAAAAAAATTAGCTGGGTGTGATGGTACACACCTGTAATCCCAGCTACTCGGGAGGCTGAGGCAGGAGAATTGTTCCAACCCAGGAGGCCGAGGTTGCAGTGAGCCAAGATCGAACCACTGCACTGTAGTCTGGGTGACAGAGCGAGACTGTCTCAAAAAAAAGAAAGAAAAAAGAAAAGAAAAAAAGAGAAGAGAAGAGAAGAGAAGAAAGGAAAAGAAAAGAAAAAGGAAAGAAAAGAAAAGAAAAGAAGAAATGAATATTCAGTTGTCTCTTCTAATGGAGAGGACAATGCAGGGTGTAGGGGGCTGGGGTTCTTAATTTTAACCAGATTGTATGTTAAACTCTTGGTCAGCGCTTGTAATGGGTCCAAAGGTCTTTAAGGAAAGCTAGCTAAACACTCTACAACGTACTGAGAACTAGGGTCAATACCTCTCACACATGGATAGTTGGAGACTGAGAGCCCCCGATCCTGGCTTCTAACTTTGACTTGTTTATGTTAAAATTCACTTGTGTCTTTGGTGCCCACTACCAGTGAAGCTCAGCAGCCCCAGAGCATCAGCTTGCTTGGGGATGTCAGCGTGGTCTGAGGATGAGGGAGTGGTCTGGGGTTGCCAGCACAGAGCTGAAAATCTGTTGCTGCTTATCCTAACGTGGATCCCTAAATGCAGTATGCAAATAGGCGACTCTGGCAGATGACGAATGGAATCTGAGGACATTCTTTGCCTGAGTTGCAGAGCAGCAATTTGCTTCATCCCTTACCAATAAGCCACACAGCTTTGAAAAAGACACTTGACACCTCCGGCCGCTGAGTGGAATGATCTCTTGGGTCCCTCCAGACACTAAAATGCCCCAATTCCAAAAGATGTCCACGACCTTATTCCGTGCCTCTCTGCTGCCACCCTGAGTTGAAGCAGGTGTAGTAGGGTCAGGTGCGGTGGGAGCGGGGAGACAGAAATCACTTATGAGAGTAGCAGGCTGGCAAAAGAAACAAGTCAAGGGAACTCCCAGAGTGTGGTGGGGACAGAGCACAGCTGCGCACCCAGTGGGTGAGCACCTACAAGCTCGCTCTCCCCAGGCTGTGCCGGCAGGAGCTGCCCACAGCGGTTACTGTAGGAGACCACTTTCCCTGCTGTTCCTGGAAGCGCCAGGATCTCTGAGTCTCTGGCACACCAAGTTAATAATTGTCTCCTAGATACTCACCAGGGGGATTGCTAAAGGTAATAATAGTCTCAAATGCCCCTCCTTGGGTGTGGGGGGCATGTTCTGAGGTTGCAATGCCCTGCTTTCTGCTTCCAACCCCTGGAACACCATGATTCCCACAGACAAGTGCCCAGTCAATACAACGTGTGAATGGTGCTTGACTTTTCATACAAAAGAACAGGAAGCTGCAGCACGGATAATACACAACACTATTTGTCCAAATACATCACTGCTAGCTGCTTTTGCAGTGCCTTATGTGATTCCCGACTAGATGCATCATTTACCTTTTTGTTGCTGTTTCTCACATTCTTTGCCCATATTCTGTTGGAAGAGTGTGATCCAGGTGCTGGGATATAGGTTGGAGGGAATGCTACCAGTTTGAGATTAAACAGATCATCAGCCCACACAGGTAATTATGGGTTAGTGCTATCTGCAGCCCCTGGGCTGGGAGGGTATTAGACTACTCCTGTTTTCCCCAAGAGGGTAATAAACCTATAAGAAGCTGGCTGGTGTCCCCTGAGCTGTGGGTGGGGTCCAGGTCTGAGTGTCCCAGCCGCCACTCCTACTTACCTCAACTTTCCTTTTCCCGTACCACCTGGAGATCTGGTCTGGTCTGTGGTCTGGGAAAGGGATGTATTCTTTTCTGGAAATGGATTGGGGTGTCTTGTCAGTGTCTCTGGTGAACTGGAAAAGACCAAATATTCAGGAAAACCTCTGAGATGCCACTTCTCAAACTTCTGCTGGGTCCCCTTACCTCCTGGGCCATCAGAAGATGGGTCAGGAAAAGGTAAATACAAACCCCAGGACATCCTGCTCAACACAGGAAAAGAGCTTGCTCGGGGACAGGGAGCCTGCCATGTGTCACCCCTGGGAAGAGTTGTCATTGTCTCCCCTGGCCACCTTCTCATCGTCCGCACCTATGTCCTTTCTCATCTTCTCTCTCCCTGCTCTTGTCTCTTTTTTGCCTCCTCCTTTTTTTTTTTGGACACAGAGTCTCGCTCTGTCACCAGGCTGGAGTGCACTGGTGCAATCTCGGCTCACTGCAACCTCCATCTCCCGGGTTCAAGCGATTCTCCTCTCTCAGCCTTGGAGTAGCTGGGATTACAGGCATGCGCCGCTGTGCCCAGCTAATTTTTGTATTTTCAGCAGAGACAGGGTTTTGCCATGTTGGCCAGGACGGTCTTGATCTCTCAACCTTGTGATCCACCCGCCTCGGCCTCCCAAAGTGCTGGGATTACAGGTATGAGCCACTGTGCCCAGTCCTCCCTTTCTTTCTCTTCTTCCTCACTCTTTCCAACTCTCTCGCTTTTTAAATTACATTTTGTTCTCTAATTAGTTTTCTTAATGTTTAATATGGTAAAATATATTCAACATAAAATTCATTTACCATTTTAGCCATTTTCAACTCTACAGTTCAGTGACATTCACACTGTTGTGCAACCATCACCACCATCCATCTCTAGAACTCTACTTACCTTGCGAAACTGAAACTCCGTGACCATTAAGCACCAACTCTCCATTCTCCTCTCCCTGCAGCCCGTGGCAACCATCATTCTACTTTCTCTGCATGACCTTGCCTGTTACAGGCACCCTATGTAAGTAGAATCATACAATTTTTGTCCTTTTGTGTCTTAGCTCACTTAGTATAATGTCTTCAAAATTCATCCATTTGATAGCATGTGTCAGAATCTTCTTCCTTTTTAAGGTCTGATTATATTCCATGGTATACTTACACATTTTGTTTATCCTTTCATCCATCAGTGGGCACTTGGGTTGCATCCACCTTATGGCTACTGTGAACAGTTACTATTAATGTGAATGTACAAATATCTTGTTGAGTCCCTGCGTTCGATTCTTTTGGGCATACAACCAGAAGCGTAATTGCCGGAACATATGGTAATTCTATGTCTAATTTTTTGGGAGAACTGCCATATTAGTTTTCTACAGTGGCAGTATCATTTAGGGTCCAAGGGTTCCCATTTCTTCATATCCTCACCAACACTTGTTATTTTCTGTTTTTTGATACTAGCCGTACTAAAGGATGAAGTGGTATCTCATTGTAGTTTTGATTTGGACTTCCCTAATATCAGTGAGGTTGACTATGTTTATGTGTTTATCGGCCATTTGTACATCTTCTTTGGAGAAATATCTATTCAGCTCCTTTGTCATTTTTTAATCAGGTTGCTTGTCTTTGGTTATTGTTGAGTTATAGAAGTCCTTTATATATTCCGGATATTAGCCCCTTATCAGATATGTGATTTGCAAATATTCTCTCCCACTCCACTGGTTATCATTTACTCTGTTGATAGTGTCCTTTGAGGCACAAAGTCTTTTGTTTTGATGACGTCCAATTTATTATTTTTTTCTTGTGTTGCTTGTGCTTTTGGTGTCATATCAAGAAATTCTTGCTAAAGCCAATGTCATGAGACTTTTCCCCTGTGTTTTCTTCTTTTTTATTTAATTTAAAAAAGAGAGAGATGGGCTCTTGCTACGTTGCCCAGGCTGGTCTTGAACTCCTTGCCTCAAGTAGTCCTCCCGCCTCAGCCTCTCAACGTGCTGGGATTACAGGCATGAGTCATCACACCCAACCCCCTGGGTTTTCTTCTAAGAGTTTTGTAGTTTTAGGTCTTATCCAGGTCTTTGATCCACTTCGAGTTCAGTTTTGTATATGGAATGAGGGAAGGACCTAACTTTATATTTGTACACACAGATATCCACTTTACCGAACACCATTTGTTGAAGAAATTGTCCTTTCCCCCACTGAACAGTTTTAGCATCCTCGTCAAGAGTCGTTTGATCGTATATACAAATGTTTGTTTGTAGGCTTTCTCTGTTGTCCTATAGGTCTGTGTATCTGTCTGTATGCCGGTATCACACTGTCTTCATTACTGTGGCTTTTAGTAAGTTTTGAAACCAAGAAATGTGAGTCTTCCAATTTTGTTCTTTTTTTCAAGACCGTTTTGGCTATTTGGAGTCTCTGGAGATTTTATATGAATTTTAGGATGGATTTTATGTCTGCAGAAACTTTACTGAGGTTTTGATAGCGATTGCATTGAATCTGTAGATAGCTTTGTGTAGTATTGATATCTTAACAAGATGAAGTCTTCCATCCATGAACACAGGGTGTCATTCCATTTATTTATGTCCTCTTTATTTTTTTCAGCAGTGTTTTGTAGTGTTCAATGTATATAAGCCTTTCATCTCCTTGGTTAAGCCTACTCTTAAGTATTGTATTTTTTGATGTTACTGTAAATAGAATTGTTTTCTTAATTTCCTTTTCAGAGTTCACTGTTAGTGTTTACGAACACAATCAACTTTTGCATACTTTGCTTGACTCGTTTATTAGTTCTAACAGTTTGTGTGTGGGTGCATGTGTGTTTCCGACATATAAAATCATTAGGGGTTTCCTATATATAAAATCATGCCATCTGCAAAAAGAGAGATAATTTTACTTTTTCCTTTCTAATTTGGAAGCTGTTCTTTTACTTTCCTAATTTTTCTGGCTAGAACTTCCAGTACGATGTTGAATAAAAGTGGCAAAAGCTGGCATCTTTGTCTTATTCCTAATCTTAAAGGAAAAGCTTTCAATCTTTCACCATCGAGTATTACGTTAGCTGTGGGTTTTTGTTATTATGCTGAGGCAGTTTCCTTCTATGTGTAGTTTGTCGAATGCTTTTTTTTTTTTTTATAAAAAGAAGCTTAATTTTGCCCAATGCTTTTTCTACACTGTGATGATCAGGTAGTTTTTTTTTCCTTCATTCTAGTATATTGATTAATTTTTATATATTAAACCTTTTTTTTTTTTTTTTTAAAGACAGAATTGGCCAGGCTGAAGTGCAGTGGTGAGATCTTGGCTCACTGAGACCCCCCTCCCAGGTTCAAGCCATTTTCAAGCTGGGACTACAGGCACGTGCCACCATACCCAGATAATTTTTGTATTTTTTGTAGAGACGAGGTTTCATCATGTTGGCCTGGCTGGTCTCGAACTCATGACCTCAACTGATCTGCCTGCCTCGGCTTCCCAAAGTGCTGGGACTATAGGCGTGAGCCACTATGCCCAGCCCTGAACCATTCTTGCATTCCAGGAATGAATCTCACTTGGTCATGGTGTATATAACCCTTTTAATATAATATTGAATTGGGGTTTCTACTATTTACTTGAGGATTTTTGCATCAATATTCATAAAGAATACTGGTTTGTAGTTTTCTTTTCTTGTGATGTCTTCATCTTTAGTATCTGGGTCATGCTGGCCTCATAAAATTAGTTAGAATTTATTTCCTCCTCTTCAATATTTTGGAAGCATTTGAGAAGGACTGATGTTAATTCTTTTTAAAATATTTGTTAGAATTCACCACTGCAGTCATTTGGTCTTAGGCGTTCCTTTGTTGGGAGATTTTTGATTACTAATTCAATCTCTTCACTAGTTATAGATCTATTTAGATTTTCTATTTCTTTATAATTCAGTCTTGATAGATTATATATTTCTTGGAATTTCTCCATTTCATGGAGAATTACGTAAGTTATCCAATGGTTAGCATAAATTGTTCACAGTACTCTCTTATTATCTTTTTATGTCAGAAAAAAGTTGGTAATTATTTCACACTTTCATTTCTAGTTTTAGTTACTTGCATCTCTTCTCTTTTCTTCCCTTAGTCAATAGATAAACATTTGTAAATTTTACTGAGCTTTTCAAAAAACCAAGTTGGTTTTCTGTTTGTTTGCTTGCTTGTTTGTTTAGAGATGGAGTCTCGGTCTGTCACCCAGGCTGGAATGCAGTGGTACAATCTCAGCTCACTGAAACCTCCGCCTCCCAGGTTCAAGCAATTCTCCTGCCTCAGCCTCCCTAGTAGCTGGAATTACAGGCATGCACCACAGCACCCAGCTAATTTTTGTATTTTTTGTAGAGATGGGGTTTCAGCATGTTGGCCAGGCTGGTCTCGAACTCCTGACCTCAGATGATCCGCCCACCTCAGCCTCCCAAAGTGCTGGGATTACAGGCATGAGCCACCGCACCTGGTCCTAACTTGATTTTATTGATTTTTTTCTGTTGTTTTTCTATTTTCTATTTTACTTACCTCTTCTCTAAATCTTTAACTTCCTTCCTTCTGCTAGCTTTGCATTTAGTTTGTTCTTTGTTTTTCTGTTTTCTTAAAGTATAAAGTTAGGTTAATTTGAGATATTTATTCTTTTTTAATGTGTTTACAGCTGTTAATTTCCCTCTTAACAGTACTTTCACTGCATCCCATAAGTTTTGGTATGTTGTATTTTCATTATTATTTTCTAATTTTTCTGTGATTTTTTTCTTTACTGATTGTTTTTTTAAAACAGTGTGTTGTTTAATTTCCACATATTTGTGGATTTTTCAGTATTTCTTCTGCTAGTGATCTTTCAGTTCATTTCATTTGTGATCAGAAAAGATACTTTTTATGATTTTAATCTTTATAATTTATTAAAACTTGTTTTGTAGTCTAACATATGGCCTATCCTGGAGAATATTCCATATGTACTTGAGAAAAAAAAAAAAAACACTTATTCTGCCTTCGTTGGGTGGAGTGTCTGTCAGGTCCAATTGGTCTATAGGGTTGTTCAAGTCCTCAATTTCCTTACTGATCTTCTGTTTTTTTTTTTAATCCAGTATTAAAAGTGGGGTATTGAAGTACCTTACTATTAGTGTGGAGCCATCTATTTCTCCCTTCAATTCTGTCCATTTTGCTTCATATATTTCAGAGCTCTAATATTTGGTGTATACATGTGTGTATTGTACCTTCTTCTTGGTGAATTGGCCCTTTCATCAATATATAATGTCCCTCTTTGTCTCATAATAGTTTTTAACCTAAAGCCTACTTTGCCTGATACTAGCCATACCTGCTCCCTCCTGGCAAAAAAAATATCTTTTTGCTTCCTTTCACTTTCAACTTACATGTGTACTTCAATCTATAGTCAGTCTCTTGTAGGCAGCATATAGTTGGATCTTGTTTTATAAATCTCTCTGCTAATGTATGCCTTTTATTTGGAAGTTTAATCCATTTACATTTAAAAGTGATTATTGATAGGGAAGGACTTACTTTTGCCACTTGAGTATTTGTTTTCTGTATGTCTTGTAGATTTTTGTCCCTTATTTGCTCTCTTACTGTCTTCTTTTGTGTTTAATTTTTGAGGGTCACATTTTGATTCCCATATTATTTTCTTTTGTGAATACTCTATAGGCATTTTCTCTGTGGGTACCGTGGGGATTATACACAATATCCTACAGCTATAACAACATATTATAAATTGTGACCAACTGAAATTGCATACCAAAACTCTACTCTTTTATAGCTTTGCCTCTCTCTGCTTTATGTTATTAAAGTCACAAATTACATCTTTATATAATGCATACTCATTTACATAGATTTATAATTTTATGCCTTTGTCTTCTAAATTCTGTCAAAAATAAAGACTGTAATTAGACCCCAAAATTATAATAACCCTAGCTTTTATGCTTTTCTACATATTTACCTTTACTGGACAACTTTATATTTTTGTATGGCTTCAAGTTACTGTCTAATGTCCTTTTGTTTCAACTTGAAGGATTCTCTTTAGCTTTCCTGGCAAGGTAGGTCTACTGTCAATAAACACCCTCAGTTTTTGTTTGTCTGGGAATGTTTTAACTTCTCCCTCATTTTAAAAAGACAGTTTTGTTGGATACAGAATTATCAGGTAACAGTATTTTTTTTATCAGCACGTTAAATATATTATCCCACTGCCTTCCAGGCTCCAAGGGTTCTGCTGAGAAAATTCCCTAATAATCTGTTTTGTTTGTTTGTTTGTTTGTTTGTTTGTTTGTTTTTTGAGACAAAGCCTCACTCTCACTCTGTCACCCAGGCTAGAGTGCAGTGGCACGATTTTGGCTCACTGCAACCTCCACCTCCCAGGCTCAAGTGATCCTCCCACCTCAGTCTCCTGAGTAGCTGGGACTACAGGCATATACCACCGTGCCCAACTAATTTGTATATATTTTGTAGAGATAGGGTTTTACCATGTTGCCCAGCTGGTCTTGAACTCCTGGGCTCAAGCAGTCTACCTGCCTTATCCTCCCAAAGTGCTGAGATTCAGACGTGAGCCACCTCATCTGGCCAATCCCCTAATAATCTCACTGAGGAGCCATTGTTCTTGATGAGTTACTTTTCTCCTGGTGCTCTCAAGATTCTGTCTTTGTTTTGGGTTTCAATATTTTAATTATAAAGTGTTTCAATGAGGGACTCTAGATTTTTTCCTACCTGGAGTTCATTGAACTTCTTGGATTTGTAGATCTATGTATTTACTCCAATTTGGGAAGATTTTAGTCATTATTTTTTCAAATACTCTCTTGGCCCCTTTCTCTCTCTCTTCTCCTTATGCAATTCCCTTAATGCATATATTAATCTGCTTGATAATGTCCCATAAGTCCCTTAGGCTCTGTTCACTGCCTTTAAATTTGCTGATTCTTTCTCCTGCCTATTCAAATCTTCTGTTGAATTCCTCCATTGAATTTTTCAATTCAGTTATTGCATTTTTCAGCTCTAAAACTGGTTTGACTCCTTTTTATAATTTCAATCTCCTTTTTGATATTCTCATTTTGTTCATGTATTGTTTTCCTGATTTACTTTAGTTCTTTGTGTCCTTTACCTATTTGTCCATATTTAAGACGGTTGTTTTAAAGTATTTGACTAGTACCTTGATGCTTGTGTTTATTCAGGGAGAGTTTCTCTCACTTTATTTTCTTCCTTTGGATGGGCCTTTTTTTTTTTTCCTGTATCTTTGTATGTCTGGTGATTTTTCATTGAAAATTGGGCATTTGAATAGCAGCCAACTCTTCCAGTCTTTGTAGACTGGCTCTGTGCAGGGAAGACCTTTTCTAACTAGCAAGTAATGTTCTGAGTCTTGGGGTCAGCCCAACATGAAGGCTTAAATATTCTCAAGTCTTTTCTGGTGTACATCTTGCCTGGACCTGTGTGTGTGTGTGTGTATGTGTATGTGCGCGTGTGTGTGTGTGTGTTTTCTTAATTCCCCTACATACACAGCTGCTTTTAAATGTTTTAATTTCCAAAAAAAAGTCTCACCCCTGCTTCTTCTTCGACTTCAGATGTTCTATCGTATTCCTCTATCCACAATCTCTTGCCCTAGATATTTATAGATCTGTAATCCCCTGGCAGCTTTCACTAGCTGTGCCTGTCATTGCTTTCCATGGCTTTTCCCAGCCTGAGATCTGAACTATGCCACCTTTTCCCGTCTGAGCTCCAAGTTAGAAGAAATAGAGAGCAATCCCTCAGGCAGCCCCAGACAGGTTCAAATGTTGCTCCACTCACTCTGGATTTGAAGGAGGGAACTTGGAGCCAAGCTGCCACTTACCCTAAAATGCAGACTATGCTGTGCTGTGCTGGGGAGGTAGTGGGAAAGGACAAGTAAAAACATCATGAAATTTCCTATTCATTTTGAATGTGTCTTTTTCTTGATTGGCCATTTGACTGGGCTATATATCTTTGACTGTTTTCCAGAGCTCCTATAATGTTTTTGTGTTTTTTTCTTTAATGTTTCTATAGGGAATGAGAACCTGGAGCTTCTTAGTCCACTACCTTGTTGACGTCACTCCAACTCCACTACTTTTATGCAATCTTCTCTAGGTGTGAGACCAGGCCATAATATCCCTGAGTACTGCATCGCCCATGGGCACCTGAAGGTATTCAACCAGTCCTTCCTGCTTTTGGAACTTCTCTTGCACACACCTGCTCACCAAACAAGGTCAAGTACATTTGTAGCTGATGGTGACTGAAGGTTGTATCTGGCCAGAGAGGTGGTAATTACTAACGTTCTCCATGAGAACAGCCTTTAACCTTCCCTTCTTTTCCCCATACCAAAGCTGACATTTCTATTTCACTTTCTTTCCCTTGCCCACTTCCCAAGAAGACATGGGGAAGTCTAGATGTCTCTGAAAAACTTTAAGTGGCTCAGTCTTGCCAAACACAAATGAAGATATTCTATTTCAAGTATGCCAACTTGAAACTTTGCCAACTCAGGCAAAGTATTTTCCAAAGACCTTTAAAACACAAAGGAAAACCAAGAGCCAAATTGTTCTATTTGAAAGTAAAACTTGAAGCTGAGGCCGGGCGCGGTGGCTCACGCTTGTAATCCCAGCACTTTGGGAGGCCAAAGTGGGCAGATCACTTGAGGTCAGGAGTTCAAGACCAGCTTGGCCAACATGGTGAAACCCCCTCTCTACTAAAAATAACAAAAATTAGCTGGGCATGGTGCATGCACTTGTAGTACCAGTTACTTGGGAGGTTGAGGCAGGAGAATCGCTTGAGCCCGGGAGGCGGAGGTTGCAGTGAACCGAGATCATGCCACTGCACTCTAGCCTGGCCAACAGAGTGAGACTGTGTCTCAAAAACAAAGAATAAAAGTAAAAATTGAAATGCATTAGTAGGGCAGGATTGTGGAAAGGTGCCAGAGAGCAGCAGCAAATCCCCAGACATCAATGCAGAGAGTGGCAAGCTGGCCTCAGGAGGTACCACATTCTGGGAAGGGCCAGAATAAGGAGAGCAAGTGTTCTTCAAATCAAGTATAAAGGAATTAAGGACAGAAAATATCCAGATGCCTAGAAACACTTCATTGAGAAGAGTGCTGAGAGGCACAACTACATTGACACCCTGTTACTGTATTTTCAATGTCCCTATTATATCTGTAAGAGTGTCGATGGTCTTTTCCCTGACCATCATGTATAAACCAGTCATAGAAACCATGCAAAATGCATGAATATTGATGATTGCTTGAATGTAACTATCCTTTGTAGAGCACAGAGAGAACAAAGATGTATGTTACATACATGTTTTTCCATTGTGTATGTACTCAGTTCCACTCATAAGTATAAATAGCTTCCCCCCAAACCTGCTGAATATTTAAGATGCAATCTTAATATTTTCAAGATGCAATCATCTGCTGCCCTCCATTTGAAAACAGAGATGAAATTCACTCCTGCCTCTCCCCATCGGTCCTCCCTCTGAGCCCTCTGTCCAGCCTCTCTCGTTTCCTTACCTTTCTCCTCTCTTCCACCCAATTTCCAGTGAGCACTTTCGTTGAGTACTTGGTCTCAATCTGCCAGCCTGGAGTAGAGAGTGGCTGTGGATTTACTGCAGTCAAAAACATGATAAGGATTTGCCCCAGGTTTCTTTGACTTGACACAGTTTAAGGCTTCAGGGGGAGAGGAAGGTGCTATGAAGTTGCTGAGTTTGGGGTGCCTATTTTGTCTTCCCAACTGGCCTCCTGACTGAGTAGTAGACTACTCCCTGCTAATCTCAGAGAATAAAATGGCCCCTCTACTGTTGACTGTCTCCATGGTGACAGACTCTGGGTATAAATACTCTCTGTAAGAGAACAGCTGATTCTGCAGAAGCAGAATTGACCTCACAGATACAAATCAAACCAACCACCCCCACAAAAGCACTGGCCAGAAGAACCTGGTTTCTGTGTTGTCACCACAATACTAGTATCATCCTTGCTACACTTTTACAATTGGGGTGAGTTAAAGTCTGCAACTATTTAATGAATGTTGATGTGCTTGCTCCAAGCAAAGACATTTATATACATTTATTCACCTGCTTAATTCTCACAGCCGCCCTCTGAGGCAGATGCCAGTATTATACCCATTTTACAGATGAGGACACTGAAGCAAAGAGATTAAGTAGCTGCCTAATGTCATGCAGTTGTGATGAGATTTAAATCCCATGAAGAGATTTAAATCCCCTCTGGTTCAGACCTAAACCACTGGGCTCCATTTCCTGTCTGCTACTTTGCAGGGGCTTGCACAAAGAATTCTGTCTTTGTGCTCGCACTGGTATAATATGGTTCATTCACTCAGTCTTCATTCATTCATTCCACAATCATTTCATATTCTATGGCAGGTGCTTAGCTACAGCTGCAATGCATTAGCAATTAGACCTGGGCACCATCCCCACAGAGCTCAGTCCAATGAGATAAAGGCCTTTGTCTTGCTCATTCATTAGGCAAAAAAAAAAAATTAAAAAGCACCAAGATATCCATCAACAGAGGGCTGGTTCAATAAATTGTAGTTCATCCATATGATGAAATCCTCTGCGAGGGTTTTAATGGTTGACTTAGGAGGATGTCTATAACATGTGGTTAAGTTAACTAAACAAAACTCTGTGTGCTACAGTATCGCTTGCTAAAAATGAAGAGGCTGGATTTCAGTAGGCATTTCAGAGAAAGTTTCCAACAGCCTTTAAACAAAAATAGAGGAAGTCCAGGAAACTACGTGTTCCATCTTGAAACTAAGCCTGTGGCAGGAAAAGACCATGAAAGATGTTCTGCAGATTAGAATAAACCTTTATTTAGCAGAGACCACAGTTGGGACAGGGCTGGCACGATCTCGGCTTACTGCAAGCTCCACCTCCCAGGTTCACTGGATAGAGGACTGGCCTTACAACCATTCTTTTCTCATAAGTTATTGCAGACCTAAAGCCAGTTTCAGCCAGCTTATAGAGGCTGTGCACAAACTCTCTTTGTGTCCTACATTCACCTTTTGACATAAAGAGCCAAATTCCACCTGATTTAATATTAAAACGCTGCCCGCAGTTTGCAAACTGGTATCACCAATAAAGCTGTCGTGCTATTCAGCCATCCTGGTGGTCTTTTGGATGACAATCATGTACAAAACAGTCATAGCAGCCATGGCTACATGCAACATGGGTGAATCTTAAAAACATTAACAATATTGGGGAAAAGAAACCAGACTTGAGTAAATACATATGGTAGGATTCCATTTATATGTAGTCCACAAACACACAAAGCTAAATATTATTGTTTAGGAAAGATGTATGTTACATACATGTTCTTCCATTGTGCATGTGCTCAGTTCCACTCATAAGTGTAAATAGCTTCCCCCAAACCTGCTGAATATGTATAAATACAGGCCTCGTGAAGCATGAAACCCAACCTGTCCTTCCTCTCTTGGAAGAGACAGTACTTCTGATCCATGCTGGAGACTATCTCCCTGTGCAGTTCACAAATAGGTAAAACTGAACATTATTGTTTAGGAGCATACTTTGGCATTAAGCATATAAATAAAAGCAAGGGAGTGATGGCTATAAAAGTCAAGAGAGTGGTTTCCTTTAGAGGAGGAATGGGTTGTGAGTGGGAGGGGCATGTGGAGTACTTTGGGCGTGCTGGCAATATTTTATTTCCTGATCAACTCAGTGTTTTTTGTGGGGTTTGCTATTCCATAATTCATTTATCTGTGTACATTTATTTTTAATGTACTTTTTGATGTTTGTGTTTTATGTGACAATAAAAGGTTTTAAAAACTGAATTATACCGGGCCGGGCACGGTGGCTCACGTCTGTAATCCCAGCACTTTGGGAGGCCAAGGCGGGTGGATCATGAGATCAGGAGATCGAGACCATCCTGGCTAACACAGTGAAAGCCCGTCTCTACCAAAAATACAAAAAATTAGCCGGGCGTGGTGGTGGGCGCCTGTAGTGGACTGTGTTAGTGGTGCTGGAGCCAGGTTGTACCTGCTCATGAGAGCCAGTTGTGGTCTCGTCCCAATAACATGCTCTATGAAGTCACATTGGTAGCTTGACATCGGTCACAGTGGGAATATTTCCACCACAGAACTGGCAAAGGCTACATATCAGGCTGTGCGGGTTTTTTCTCCCAGAAAGCGAGTTTATCAACATGTTATTGGTTATATTCATCAATATTTACCATATTAGAAATTAAAACAGTCTGGGCACAGTGGCTCATGTGTGCAATCCCAGTATTTCAGGAGGCCAAGGCAGGAGAATTACTTGAGCCCCAGGAGCTCAAGACCAGCCTGGGCAACATGGAGAAACTAATTTCTTAAAAATATATATACATGAAAAATAGCCAGGCATGGTGATGCACACCTATAGGCCCAGCTACTAGGGAGGCTGAGATGGCAGGATCCGTTGAGCCCAGGAGTTTGAGGCTACAGGGAGCTGTGATCGTGCCACTGCACTCCAGCCTGGGTGACAGAGAAAGACCCTGTCTCAAAAAAAGAAAGAAAGGAATTAAAACAGAAATTTAAAATATATTTATTAATTTCAAAATAACAAAAAAACTTATTTCATGTTAACATAATTAATTTTTTAATAAAGATTAACTCCATTTTCCAAAACAAAAAAATTTGAATAAATTTTTTGCCCATTGGTGATTTTGGTGGTCATCTGGAAAATATTGCTTTACTAAGCTGTATAGATCTTCTTCCAAACTATACAATATTTTTAAAAATCACACTTGCTGCTGGATACGGTGGCTTACACCTTGTAATATCAGCACTTTGGGAGGCTGAGGCGAGCAGATCACTTGAGCCCAGGAGTTCAAGATCCACCTGGGCAACATGATGAAACCCCATCTCTACAAACAAATACAAAAATTAGCCAGGTGTGGTGATCCACAGCTGTAGTCCCAGCTATTTGGGAGAGTGAGGTAGGAGGATAGCCTGAGCCTAGGTGGTTGAGGCTATAGTAAGCAGCGATTGCACCACTACACTCTAGCCTGGGCAACAAAAAAAAAAAAAAAAAAAAAATCGCATTTGCTAACATCATTACTGTTATCATCAGAAAAGCATTGAACTGTTAGAAAGTTGTCAAGTTCACAGTGGTGAACATAAGTTTTCCAAAATTCCAGTTCTAGTTTGAAAGCTCAAAATTTTGTTATTGGCAACAATTAATCTCAGTCGTTTTCCTTGAAGTGACAGGCTTACCTCATTCATTTTCAAGGAAACATCAAGAAAACATTTCATCGGGAGGCTGAGACAGGAGAATCGCTTGAACCTGGGAGGCAAAGTTTGCAGTGAGCCAAGATTGCACCACAGCACTCCAGCCTGGGCGACAGAGCGAGACTCCATCTCAAAACAAACAAACAAACAAAAACAACAACAACAAAAAGAAAACATTTCAAACTTAAGTAATCATGGTTTGTCTGCAAGTAATCATGGTCTGTCAAGTAAAAACGGTGTTTCATTGAAAAAAAAAAAAAAGCCCAGCTAATTAATTCAGTTCACAACTCAGTCACCCACACAAATGCTCTTTCTCAAGACAGTGCTCACCCTTGGATGTGCAACATCAGTGCCTTATTTGTATCTCCTTCCCATTTCATCACACACAGCACTAAAAAGGCATTTGCTCAGGGTCGAGGTTTGATCAAAGTAATAACTGATACTTCTTCTGATGAACATTCTTAAGTGAACTTAATTTTTTTGTTTAAACTGTAAGTGTGTGGCAGTGAAGAATAAAGGATACTGATATAATTAATGGCACTGCCTTGATCCATGCACAGGTGCCAGCAATTTTACCCACAAATGCTTTTGCACCATCAAAGTCAGCACTGTGGGCCAGGCGCGGTGGCTCACACCTGTAATTCCAGCACTTTGGGAGGCCGAGGTAGGTGGATCACCTGAGGTCAGGAGTTCGAGAACAGCCTGGCCAACATGGTGAAACCCCGTCTCTAGTCATAATACAAAAATTAGCCAGGGGGTGGTGGTGCACACCTCCTCAGCTACTCAGGAGGCTGAGGCAGGAGAATTGCTGGAACCGGGAGGTAGAGGTTGCAGTGAGCCAAGATCGTGCCATTGCACTCCAGCCTGGGTGACAAGAGCAAAATTCCATCTCAAAAAAAAAAAAGTCAGCACTCTAGTGGAAAAGGGCAAATAACATCTTAGTAGCATTATGAAAATTGTCAGCTGGGCACAGTGGCTCACACCTGTAATCCCAACACTTTGGGAGGCCAAGGTGAGCGGATCACGAGGTCAGGAGATGGAGACCATCCTGGCCAACATAGTGAAACCCCACCTCTACTAAAAATACAAAATATTAGCCGGGCATTGTGGTGGGTGCCTGTAATCCCAGCTACTCGGGAGGCTGAGGCAGGAGAATTGCTTGAACCTGGGAGACAGAGGTTGCAGTGAGCCGAGATCGCGCCATTGCACTCCAGCCTGGGCAACAAGAGTGAGACACCATCTCAAAAAAAAAAAGAAAAAAAAGAAAAAAAAATTGTTTTCACCCTCCAGGCCCCTTGAAAGGGACTTGGGACCTCCAAGCATCTGTGGATCTCACTTGGAAACCCACTGCTCTAGGATAAATACTGAGAAGTGGAATTGCTACATCAGAGAGTGCATATGTGCCTCCAGCTGTACTAGATAATGCCAATTATTTTCCAGAGGGTTGTATCAGCTTACATTCCCACCACGAGTGTATGGGCGTTTCCATTGCTCCACACCTTCCGGAACTTTTTCAGCATCCCAAACAGAAACTTTGTACCCTTCAAGCTGTAACTCCCCATTCTCTCTTTCTCC